AGGGCTTACCGTGATGGAGGATTTCCCAGCCGTGTTCCCATGCTTCAACAAGGATTTGGACAGCTTTCTCTGGGAAACAATCTGCACAAAAGAAAACAAAACATGGAGATACCGGTCGCATAACTTCAGGTCTACTTTTTAATTTTTCCTCTACAACATTCTGTATTCACAGCTCTGCTTGAAGTTACGACATCTATATCCATTTATTTTCCAAGGTTTTTCCATGAACCTCTCCTACATATAGGTTATTCCCTTTTTCCTCTGATAGTGTGTGATGTAACAGTGAGTGTGACAGGGCTGGCTGAATGGCTCAGTTGGTTAAGAGAGCAAGTTCTGAGCAACAGGGTCACCGGTTTGATTCCCACATGGGCTAGTGAGCTGCACCTGAGCTGAGCTGCCACTGAACAGGTGGCAGGATGGCTCAGCTAGTGAGAGCACGTGCTCTTAACAAGGTTGCTGGTTTGACTCCCACATGGGATGGTGGGCTACGCCCATCCGCAATTAAGATTGAACACAGCACCTTGAGCTGAGTGGCCATGAGCTGTGGCCAGAAGGCCACTGGTGACAGGTGGCCAGAAGGCCACTGGACTTGGAGCTGAAGCTAGCTGTGCCCTCCACAACTAAGACTGAAGGACAACAACTTGGCTGTTCCCCTTCCCCAAATCCCCAATAAAATCCTAAAAAAAAAAAAAGAGTGAGTGTGACAAATTACAGATAATTCAGTCAATGTGGGGGTGGCTTAATTGTTGCTGAGGAATTTATATCAAAATTAGATGGCAAATGTTGGATATGAACATTAAGATATAGTAGATGAAGTTTCAGCATGATCTCTAATTAGCACTGAAATCTCTATGCAAAGCAGGGGGTGGGTGCAGGGAGGAAAAGAAACCCAAGCTCTAAATATACACCTTCTGTATCTATTACCTCTAGAGTTCTATTTTTAATATACTCATTAGAAAGCTCTAAAGCAAGTCATCAGAAAACCGATGCTCAGACAAGCCAA